GATATTCATGTTATGTTTTTGTTATTATGACTCTCTCCTAGGTTAATATTTCACTGTAAACCTGTGTAAACTAACCCAACTATAATAAACCTGTGTAAACTAACCCAACTATAATAAACCTGTGTAAACTAACCCAACTATAAATGTACTAAACAGACAATTATATTTTTGAATCTGAATTTGATAACTGTACCACCAGCTGACCTGACGCATAAATGTATTTTTAGATTTTACTAGAGAATAAACCAAATTTTACAAAACATAGGTTCTAGAAAAATATAATATATGCATTTATGCTACTGAAAATCTCTCTAAAAAAGTAATACAACTAGCTGACTGAGCACCACAGCCGAAGTGCCAAGCCAAGATTTCAAGTAGTAATATATTTTTGTTAATACCTCGATACATTTTACATATATCGATTTAACTCTGGTGTTATTTTGTCGATGAACTTTACAACTCACATAAATCTTTTAATACACCAACAAAAAAAGTTATGATATTTAGGACAAAAAAGTAGCTTAAGTAACCGAGGAGCAGCTCCCTGGTAGCCAAGGTGGACAGTAGAATAAAAATAATATTTTTCCTCCTCAGGGAAAATCTAACTCCTCCTCCCAACACCACCACCTCTTCCCATCATCCCCACCTCCTCCTCCCCACACCTCTTACCTGGACCATACCTGGTGAAGGTTTCGGGAGTTCTTCTACCCCCCCCGAGCCCTCAGCCTTCACTTCTTCCTTCGTAGCACCACTTATTGTGATGAAAAGGAGCATTATAAAGAGAGAAGTGCACTTACGCCGCGTCCGGCTAGGATGCCCCTGGGCATGGTAAACGGCTCACAGGTTCCAGAAGAAGAGAGGAAATGTCACCACTGTGGAGAAACTCACGATGTGTCATATTGCAACCATTTTATTACTATGGATAAAATACCTGAAATCCTTGCTCTGTATCCATATTTCGCTTTCAGTAGATAAATGATACGAGATTAGGAAACAAGGAGAGAGAGACCTGGGGGTTGATATCACGCCAGACCTGTCCCCTGAAGCTCATATCAAGAAGATAACATCAGCGGCATATGCCAGGCTGGCCTACATAAGAACGGCATTCAGAAACTTGTGTAAGGAATCATTCAGAACTTTGTATACCACATATGTCAGACCAATGTCTGGAGTATGCAGCTCCAGCATGGAGTCCATATCTAGTCAAGGATAAGACTAAACTGGAAAAGGTTCAAAGGTTTGCCACCAGATTAGTACCCAGGCTGAGAGGTATGAGCTACGAGGAGAGACTACGGGAATTAAACCTCAATTCGTTAGAAGACAGAAGAGTTAGCGGGGACATGATCATCACATTCAAGATTCTCAAGGGAATCGACAGGGTTGATAAAGACAGGCTATTTAACACAAGGGGCACACGCACTAGGAGACACAGGTGAAAACTGAGTGCCCATAATGAGCCACAGAGATATTAAAAAAAAAATTTAGTGTCAGAGTGGTTGACAAATGGAATGCATTAGGAAGTGATGTGGTGGAGGCTGACTCCATACACAGTTTCAAGTGTAGATATGATAGAGCCCAATAGGCTCAGGAACCTGTACATCTGTTGACTGACGGTTGAGAGGCGGGACCAAAGAGCCAGAGCTCAACCCCCGCAAGCACAACTAGGTGAGTACACACCGTGATCACCCACAGTCTCACCAACACTGAGAATATCGGCGGCACAATAATTTATGAAAGCCTAGAGGAAGAGAGGCGTAAGAGCCTCCTGCCAGCCTTAAGTCCCCGCGTGTGACTGGCGCCAGTAACTCCTGGGTCTTCTGCTAGGGTTGGAGAACACACTTTAGTACTACTGTTTCTTGACGTTGGGAACGGTGGCGAGAACGGAGCCCCCAGAGCTCACACCTGGGGGCACCTCACACCTGGACGCTCCTCACACCTGGGGCTCCTCACACCTGGGGGGCTCCTCACACCTGGGGGGCTCCTCACAACTGGGGGCTCCTCACACCTGGGCGCTCCTCACACCTGGGGCTCCTCACACCTGGGCGCTCCTCACACCTGGGGGGCTCCTCACACCTGGGGGGCTCCTCACACCTGGGGGGCTCCTCACACCTGGGGGGCTCCTCACACCTGGGGGGCTCCTCACACCTGGGGGGCTCCTCATACCTGGGGGCTCCTCACACCTGGGGGGCTCCTCATACCTGGGGGCTCCTCACACCTGGGGGGCTCCTCACACCTGGGGGGCTCCTCACACCTGGGCGCTCCTCATACCTGGGGGCTCCTCACACCTGGGGGCTCCTCACACCTGGGGGCTCCTCACACCTGGGGGCTCCTCACACCTGGGGGCTCCTCACACCTGGGGGGCTCCTCACACCTGGGGGGCTCCTCACACCTGGGCGCTCCTCATACCTGGGGGCTCCTCACACCTGGGGGGCTCCTCACACCTGGGGGGCTCCTCACACCTGGGGGGCTCCTCACACCTGGGCGCTCCTCACACCTGGGCGCTCCTCATACCTGGGGGCTCCTCACACCTGGGGGGCTCCTCACACCTGGGGGGCTCCTCACACCTGGGCGCTCCTCACACCTGGGGGGCTCCTCACACCTGGGGGGCTCCTCACACCTGGGCGCTCCTCACACCTGGGGGGCTCCTCACACCTGGGGGCTCCTCACACCTGGGGGCTCCTCACACCTGGGGGCTCCTCACACCTGGGGGCTCCTCACACCTGGGGGCTCCTCACACCTGGGGGGCTCCTCACACCTGGGGGGCTCCTCACACCTGGGCGCTCCTCACACCTGGGGGGCTCCTCACACCTGGGGGCTCCTCACACCTGGGGGCTCCTCACACCTGGGGGCTCCTCACACCTGGGGGCTCCTCACACCTGGGGGCTCCTCACACCTGGGGGCTCCTCACACCTGGGGACTCCTCACACCTGGGGACTCCTCACACCTGGGGGCTCCTCACACCTGGGGGCTCCTCACACCTGGGGGCTCCTCACACCTGGGGGCTCCTCACACCTGGGGGCTCCTCACACCTGGGGCTCCTCACACCTGGGGGCTCCTCACACCTGGGGGCTCCTCACACCTGAGGGCTCCTCACACCTGGGGGCCCCTCACACCTGGGGGGCCCCTCACACCTGGGGGGCTCCTAACACCTGGGGGGCTCCCTCACACCTGGGGGGCTCCCTCACACCTGGGGGGGGCTCCTAACACTTGGGGGGCTCCCTCACACCTGGGGGCTCCTCACACCTGGGGGGCTCCCTCACACCTGGGGGGCTCCCTCACACCTGGGGGGCTCCTAACACTTGGGGGGGCTCCTCACACCTGGGGACTCCTCATACTCTGGCCGCCTTACACCTAGGGTGTGGTGGCCCAAGCAGCTCCACGCCACGCACTAATCCCCACACAACCAATTACACAATACACCGGCAATTCACTTTCGCTGGCTTTATCTGGGTGAATAGAGGCATGCATGATGTTGCAAGCACAACTCTCCGGTATTGCAAATCAAACTCATATTACAAGTTATCATATCAACACCGTATTGCAGGGTTAAAAGGACATCTACCCCCCAAATTGCAATCACAAATCCCCAAGTGACCGGTGTTGCAAGCACATCCATCCGTACTGTAGTTGGCCAATCCTACAGTGAATTTCTTCTACATTTTGCATAGGAAAAAAGATATTTTAGATTCCTCTCAATTTCACTTGTGGCCTTTCGTCCTCTTTGTCCCTCCACGATTGTGCAGCATTCTTGCAATTTCAGTTCCATCATTTCTATAACTCTACACAGCGTTCCTTGTCGTTCTTGGGATAGAGTGAAGCCTTCGACTTGTTCTGCAGTTTATTTTCTTCGCCTACAGAGGGAACGCCGTTCTCGTTCCAGCCTGGATCTTTGTGTGTGTGTTTAGTGGAACGTGATTTGTAAATATTTGTAGTGCTACTGTGCCTATTTTCTCAATGCACTGATTTAGGTGTGCATTATCTAGCTGTTCTTCCCAGCATATTTCTGCGAGGTCTTGTTGTATTTGTTCTCAGTTAATCACTTTATTATTAAAATTGAATTTTCTGAATTTTCCTCCTCTTGGATTCTAGACTCACTACACAGGTCTATTGGCGATGCTAATCTGAACTTCGATTTTGTAGCATGAGTTTCTAATCATTAGGTCCCCAATCAGTTTATTATTGTCAAAAATTTCTAGGGTGTATTTTTCGAGATGGTTCTACTATTTGCTGGTTTAAGGCAAGTCTCTTGTCTTACTCTTCAAGTCACTTGTGTTGTCCCGTCTTGAGTACTGCTCAGTACTCACTTCCCCCTTCAGAGCAGGAGAGATTGCTGAAATAGAGGGAATACAGAGAACATATACGGCACGCATAGACGAGATAAAGCACCTAAATTATTGGGATCGTCTCAAAGCTCTCCAAATGTACTCACTAGAAAGGAGACGAGAGAGATACCAAATAATATACACATGGAAAATACTGGAGGGACAGGTCCCAAATCTACACAGTAAAATAACAACATACTGGAGTGAACGATATGGAAGAAAATGCAGAATAGAACCAGTGAAGAGCAGAGGTGCCATAGGCACAATCAGAGAACACTGTATAAACATCAGAGTTCCGCGGTTGTTCAACGTCCTCCCAGCGAGCATAAGAAATATTGCCGGAACAACCGTGGACATCTTCAAGAGAAAACTGGACTGTTTTCTAAGAGAAGATCCGGATCAGCCGGGCTGTGGTGGATATGTGGGCCTGCGGGCCGCTCCAAGCAACAGCCTGGTGGACCAAACTCTCACAAGTCAAGGAGTAGGAGTAGAAGAACTCCCAGAACCCCATCAAGCAGGCGTTGAACATCCATTAGAGGTTCATGTGTGACTGTTCATTGGGACTGTTTCCTGGGATACTCTCCTCTTTGACCCCGACCCTCGACCTGGTGGCGGGCTCCCCCTCACACACACACATTATTCCACCCATTCTCTTTAAATTCCTTCCGTGCTCAACAGAGCCATCCCGTGCTGAACAGAGCCATCCCGTGCTCAACAGAGCCATCCCGTGCTCAACAGAGCCATCCCGTTCTCAACAGAGCCATCCCGTGCTCAACAGAGCCATCCCGTGCTCAACAGAGCCATCCCGTGCTCAACAGAGCCATCCCGTGCTCAACAGAGCCATCCCGTGCTCAACAGAGCCATCCCGTGCTCAACAGAGCCATCCCGTGCTCAACAGAGCCATCCCGTGCTCAACAGAGCCATCCCGTTCTCAAGAGAGCCTTTCCGTGCTCAACAGAGCCATCCCGTGCTCAACAGAGCCATCCCGTTCTCAACAGAGCCATCCCGTTCTCAACAGAGCCATCCCGTGCTCAACAGAGCCATCCCGTGCTCAACAGAGCCATCCCGTGCTCAACAGAGCCATCCCGTGCTCAACAGAGCCATCCCGTGCTCAACAGAGCCATCCCGTGCTCAACAGAGCCATCCCGTGCTCAACAGAGCCATCCCGTGCTCAACAGAGCCATCCCGTGCTCAACAGAGCCATCCCGTGCTCAACAGAGCCATCCCGTGCTCAACAGAGCCATCCCGTGCTCAACAGAGCCATCCCGTGCTCAACAGAGCCACCCCGTGCTCAACAGAGCCATCCCGTGCTCAACAGAGCCATCCCGTGCTCAACAGAGCCACCCCGTGCTCAACAGAGCCACCCCGTGCTCAACAGAGCCATCCCGTGCTCAACAGAGCCATCCCGTGCTCAACAGAGCCACCCCGTGCTCAACAGAGCCATCCCGTGCTCAACAGAGCCACCCCGTGCTCAACAGAGCCATCCCGTGCTCAACAGAGCCATCCCGTGCTCAACAGAGCCACCCCGTGCTCAACAGAGCCATCCCGTGCTCAACAGAGCCACCCCGTGCTCAACAGAGCCATCCCGTGCTCAACAGAGCCATCCCGTGCTCAACAGAGCCATCCCGTTCTCAACAGAGCCTTCCCGTGCTCAACAGAGCCTTCCCGTGCTCAACAGAGCCATCCCGTGCTCAACAGAGCCATCCCGTGCTCAACAGAGCCATCCCGTTCTCAACAGAGCCATCCCGTGCTCAACAGAGCCATCCCGTGCTCAACAGAGCCATCCCGTGCTCAACAGAGCCATCCCGTTCTCAACAGAGCCTTCCCGTGCTCAACAGAGCCATCCCGTGCTCAACAGAGCCATCCCGTGCTCAACAGAGCCATCCCGTGCTCAACAGAGCCATCCCGTGCTCAACAGAGCCATCCCGTGCTCAACAGAGCCATCCCGTGCTCAACAGAGCCATCCCGTGCTCAACAGAGCCTTCCCGTGCTCAACAGAGCCTTCCCGTGCTCAACACAGCCATCCCGTGCTCAACAGAGCCATCCCGTGCTCAACAGAGCCATCCCGTGCTCAACAGAGCCATCCCGTGCTCAACAGAGCCATCCCGTGCTCAACAGAGCCATCCCGTGCTCAACAGAGCCATCCCGTGCTCAACAGAGCCATCCCGTACCAATGTACACTAAGGGGCTCACCAGCCGAAGTCATTAGGGAAATATACTCCCAGAGTGAGCGTGTGCTGGGGGGACGCTCCCGCCTCCACAGTCATGACCATTATCACATCTTTATTGCACCTGGCAACAGTAGTTAACCTGCAAGTACACTCAGGTCAAGTGGCACTTAGAATGAGCCCGCGGAGCTCCTCAACGCCAGCCGGGACTCTCGACTCCCCACTCCGTTAGGAAATGCAACGGTTTTGCCACGCCAGAAACATGCGAGTCCCTAGCAATCTAACCTATCGCGATCGTTGGCATGGAAGTAGTCAAAACTACGCTGATTTAATTTGTATTAATACGTCGCATTCTTTACAGATTAGTTTACGAAAACAAATTATTTATTAGATGAGAGGTCGGTTGATTAGATGAGGTTGTCTCAGTACCAACACCTTGCGGCTGTAGGGTAATTACCATAACGACGGCACTTTATAATTACAAACACCTACACCCACATGACACCTGCATCAACACCTCTACACCCACACCATCCTCTGTCACTTACAGCTACACTTCTACACCCACACCATCCTCTGTCACTTACAGCTACACTTCTACACCCACACCATCCTCTGTCACTTACAGCTACACTTCTACACCCACACTCAGGTTTGCCGTTATGGAGACCATCAAGACTGACGGAGACCTGCACCGTCACAGCCTACCCCTGCCCCAAGCCTGGCCCCCAGTGTCCACAGACTGAACACGGCAGTTAACAAGTTGCTCCACACCTTCCCCATACAGTTCGTTACTAGGTATCCTATCGGCAGTCTGCGCAGCCATGCTGAGATTGACAGTATATGCTGGCTAAAATCTTTTCCAGCCGATCCTGCCCTTTAGTGTCATCAGTCGTCGAACATCTCCACCAATGCCACCAGCCGACCCACTCCTTAGTGCCACCAGCCGACCCACTCCTTAGTGCCACCAGCCGACCCACTCCTTAGTGCCTCCAGCCGACCATTAGTACTCTCCGGGGCCCGTCTCCATAGTGTCATCCCCAGTATAGTCTAGGCAGCACCGTCAATGTTGAAGGAGCGCCACAATATCCAAAGACGTTTCCAAGAAATAACGTTGTGTAATGACGATGGTTTGGTAATGGAGTCATATTATCGTACACGGTGACAGGGGCCAAGAGAACCTCACTAATGGCAGAACTAGCCACCAACATAACTATGTACTCAACTAACCACCAACATAACTATGTACTCAACTAGCCACCAACATAACTATGTACTCAACTAGCCACCAACATAACTATGTACTCAACTAACCACTAAAATAAGTATGTCGTCATCTCGCCTTGACAAGTGTAGTACGGGGCGTTACAATATGAAAAGTCCTCCCCCCCTGTTTCAGTTTCAACAGCTGAATCCAGTTAAAACAGGCGGGCAGGCAGGGTGGCAGGCAGGGTGACAGGCAGGCATGGTAGCAGGCTGACAGGCAGGCATGGTAGCAGGCTGACAGGCAGGCAGGCTGACAGGCAGGCAGGGTGGCAGGCTGACAGGCAGGCTGACAGGCAGGCATGGTAGCAGGCTGACAGGCAGGCATGGTAGCAGGCTGACAGGCAGGCAGGCTGACAGGCAGGCAGGGTGGCAGGCAGGGTCACAGGCTGAGAGGCAGGCATGGTAGCAGGCTGACAGGCAGGCAGGGTGACAGGCTGACAGGCAGGCAGGGTGGCAGGCAGGGTGACAGGCTGACAGGCAGGCATGGTAGCAGGCTGACAGGCAGGCAGGGTGGCAGGCTGACAGGCAGGCAGGGTGGCAGGCTGACAGGCAGGCAGGGTGGCAGACTGACTGACAGGCAGGGTGGCAGGCTGACTGACAGGCAGGGTGGAAGACTGACTGACAGGCAGGGTGGCAGGCAGGGTGGCAGGCTGAGTGACAGGCAGGGTGGCAGGCTGACTGACAGGCAGGGTGGCAGACTGACTGACAGGCAGGGTGGCAGGCTGACTGACAGGCAGGGTGGCAGGCTGACTGACAGGCAGGGTGGCAGGCAGGGTGATAGGCTGTGGAGGTTAACTGGAGATCTCGACACTTGACGGCGGCACGTTTGATCCTTATCAGTCAGTGCACCACCCATGGCACTTGTTCATTCTTGCCTGTCTTGCTCATCCACACATGACCTGTTCATCCACTCATGACCTGTTCATCCACTCATGACCTGTTCATCCACTCATGACCTGTTCATCCACTCATGACCTGTTCATCCACACATGACCTGTTCATCCACTCATGACCTGTTCATCCACACATGACCTGTTCATCCACTCATGACCTGTTCATCCACTCATGACCTGTTCATCCACTCATGACCTGTTCATCCACTCATGACCTGTTCATCCACACATGACCTGATCACCCACCCGCCGACACGTTCTTCAAGCCCATACCAACCTCATTCAAGCATGACCCGCCACTGCTCATCTCAGAGGGTCCCGTGCATCACACAAGATGGGCTGGACGGTAGAGCGACGGTCTCGCTTCATGCAGGTCGGCGTTCAATCCCCGACCGTCCAAGTGGTTGGGCGGTCGATTCCTCTCCCCGTCCCATCCCAATTCCTTATCCTGACCCCTTCCCAGTGCTATATAGTCGCAATGGCTTGGTGCTTTCTCCCTGATAGTTCCCTTCCCTCCACCCCCCCCCCCACTACACTTGGACTCATCAGGGCACTGAATAACGAACACCACTCGGAGGTACGAGCCAGTGTGGCGTCTATATACCAAAAAAAGGGAAAAGACTAAGAACTTTCGAGACTAATCGAGAAGAAACAAATCAGAACATTTATACCAGTTGTACTTTTGCCTTTAAACATCAACATGGGTTCAGGGTTGGGAGAGTAAAGGGTGACCGACTATAACCCGTCCTCTTCATCTGCCACAACCTCACAAATGTTATCCTCCTAAACTTAACCACACACGTACAATCCCAAGCAACCCACTTGACCAATCGAGTCCATTGCACAGAAAACGGAGAGATTTGTGAGCCATTACTTATCATAATTAGTTGTATTTGTCAAGTTGGTTACCATAACGTACAAAACGCCACCTATTAGTTGACAGGATGGGTTGGATAGATTAAGCTAATAACCAAACTCGCGCATATGGAAGGAAAATTATATTCGAGCGGAAACGTCGTCACTTTCACGTGTGTGTAGTGGGAGAGGGGGGGTCACTGTGACTTCCTCTCTCAAGAGCGTAAGATAAGTTGCAACATATGAGAGAGAGGCGGATGCTGAGACTGCATCTTCCAAGATTGCCAGGAGGCATTTGACAACCCCACACTCAAGACAATTGTACTATCTCTTAGATAAAAGGTGGAGTAACTGGGAACTACTCCAGCACCTTTCAAAGCTGGTGAAATTGCTGACCTGGAGAGCATGCAGAGATCCTTTACTGCTAGAATCCACTCAGTTAAACATCTAAACTACTGGGACCGACTAAAGAGCCTAAATCTGTATTCCCTTGAGCGCAGGCGGGAGAGATACATAATAATTTACACGTGGAAAATAGTAGAGGAGCTGGTCCCAAACCTGCACACAGAAATAACATCACATGAGACCAGGAGGCATGGCAGGATGTGCAGAATACCCCCGTTGAAGAGCAGAGGTGCAACAGGTACTCTGAGAGAGAACTCTATCAACATCAGAGGCCCGAGACTGTTCAACACGCTTCCACCACACATAAGGGGCATAATTGGCCGACCCCTCATAGTGATACCTGGTTGATGGGGTTCTGGGAGTTCTTCTACTCCCGGTTGGTCCGCACTCCTTGAAGAAAACAATCTAGTTTTCTCTTGAAGATGTCCACGGTTGTTCCGGCAATATTTCTGATGCTAGCTGGTCAACCTGTCCTCTTAAAAAGAACGTCGCTTTTGGCCGTTTGCCCGTATGGCCGAATTTGGACGTAATTTGAAAATGAAAAAAAAATGAAAATAAATTTGGGATTTTTTTTTTCAACAACAGTAAGTTAAGGGTCCTCTGATAGGTGGGCAGGAAATTCTCATAAAGTTTCAAAACGTTATGAAAAACGTTAATTTAAAGTGTCCTCTAATAACCTCTGCGCGTAGGCCGGACGACTGAAATAGAAAACGGAACAGTACGTCACTTTTGTGAGTCGATTTCATTTCAAATTACGTCCAAATTTGGCCATAGTGCGCATACGGGCGAAAAGTGACGTTATTTTTAAGAGGACGGGTTGAGCTGGTAGGACGTTGAACAACCGCGGACCTCTGATGTTTATATAGTGTTCTTTGATTGTACCTATGGCACCCCTACTCTTCACTGGTTCTATTCTGCATTTTCTTCCATATCGTTCACTCCAGTACGTTGTTATTTTACTGTGCAGATTTGGGACCTGTCCTTCCAATATTTTTCATGTGTATATTATTTGGTATCTCTCTCGTCTCCTTTCTAGTGAGTACATTTGGAAAGCTTTGAGGCGATCCCAATAATTTAGGTGCTTTATCGCGTCTATGCGTGCCGTATATGTTCTCTGTATTCCCTCTATTTCAGCAATCTCTCCTGCTCTGAAGGGGTAAGTGAGTACTGAGCAGTACTCAAGACGGGACAACACAAGTGATTTGAAGAGTACAACCATTGTGATGGGATCTCTGGACTTGAAGGTTCTCGTAATCCATCCGATCATTTTTCTGGCTGACGCAATATTTGCTTGGTTATGCTCCCTTAACGTTAGATCGTCGGACATCATTATTCCCAAATCCTTGACATGCTGTTTTCCTACTATGGGCAGATTCGATTGTGTTTTGTACCCTGTATTATGTTTTAGATCCTCATTTTTGCCGTATCTGAGTACTTGGAATTTATCACCGTTAAACATCATGTTATTTTCTGCTGCCCAATCGAAAATTTTGTTAATGTCTGTTTGTAGTTTTTCAATGTCTTCAGGAGAGGTAATTTTCATGCTGATTTTTGTATCATCTGCAAAGGATGACACGAAGCTGTGACTCGTGTTTTTGTCTATATTTGATATGAGAATAAGAAACAGCAGTGGTGCAAGGATTGTACCTTGAGGTATAGAGCTTTTAACTGCGCTCGGACTCGATTTTACTTGATTGACTGTTACTCTTTGTGTTCTGTTCG